ATGTCCAGGAGAGGGGCCCTTGGCGTGATTCCACCAGGTAGCAGGAGATACCCACACCGGGTCAGACACTAGGGTAGCAGGTCAAAGTGGGCAACAGGAAGGTGCCCAGCCTTGGCAGTGAGCCAGGACCCTGGTCCGTCCCACATCCGGGGCTGGGGCTGAGAGGTGGGGGAGGGGCGGTGGGGGCAGGGAGCAGCTTCCCCTCCTGAGGGTCCCATAAGCACCTGCCACTCACCATCCACCTGCTACCCAGTTCCATCCCCCCAGTCCCCAAAAGCCCTCACCATCACTCGCCCAAGTTGAAAACCCCTCCTGTCCCCTCACCCCACACCCAGCAGGGCCTGTAAACGCTGCCTGTGTTCATTGAGCAGGATGGGGCTCTCAAAACTTTGGGGAGTCCGGGCCACTGCCCAAGTTCCCCTGAAACGTGGCTGACTTAGTCTGCTCTGGCTGCCATAATGAAATGCCACCAACTTGGGTGGCTTGGACAACAGAAATTCATTTCTCACTGTTCTGAAGGCTGGACGTTTGAGATTGGGGTGGCGGCACGGTTTGTTTCTGGTGAGGTCTCTCTTCTCGACTTGCAGAAAGCCACTTTCTTGTTAGTCCTAACACAGAAGAGAGAGCAAGAGAGTGAGCTCTGGTCTCTCCCTATGAGGACACTAATCCCGTCATGAGGACCTCACCTCATGACCTCATCTAACCCTAGTCACCTCACAAAGGCCCCACCTCCAAATGCCCTTACATTGGGGGTTAGGACTTCAACATATGAATTCAGGGGGCGGGGGAGGACAAATATTTAATCCATTACAGTAGCTGACCCTGAGAACCTCCAGGAACCGAGAGTCTATGGTGCCCAGAAAGGGGTGGGCTCAAATGTGTGGCCAGATGAGAACAGGTTTTGAAAAACTCTGGAGCTGTGAGCAGGACTTGGAGTCCCCACTTGAGACACCCCAGGGCTTCCGGGAGAAGACAGAGGTCTTATTTTGAGTTTTCCATTCCCTGTGGAAACCTGACCTGTCTCTAACTTGCCCCATGACCTTGCCCTCCCTGAGACTCAATTTCCCCACCTGTGAAGTGAAGAGAGTTAAATCAGGACAGCAGTTTTCAAACTTTTCAGAATCATGGTCCCTTTGAGAATCTAAGAGCTTTTGACCCTTTCCCCAGAAGAAATATACAAAACTTCACAACTCGGCATTGCAGGGCCCTCTGGCCCACCCTTGGAACTTTTAGGGGTTCGTGGACTCTGGGGGAAAAACCCCAAACGAGGTCATCTTTAGGAACATTTCCAACCATGACATCCTGTGTGACCACAAGCGTGATGCTGTCGTCTCTGGGCCAGGTTCCCCTTATCTGTAAAATACAGGGAACAAAACCCACCAAGCCCTTGCCAAGCCATCCCCTGTCACTTTATGGACACGGTTTTATTTAACCATCACAATTTCAGTGCAGGATAGACCTTCTTATCCCCACTTTAAAGATACAGAAAGTGAGATGCAGAGAAGTACTAGGCATAAAGTCACAGTACAAAATATCTGACTTAAAGCCAATCGCCTTTCTACTATCCCATGTCACCTTAGAAACATGTTAAAAACAACAAAGACGGCCCCACTACTGCTGTTATTTATGGAACGCTCAGTGCGTCCCAGACCCTGCGCTAAGGCTTTTACATTTTCTACTCTTTTAGTCCTTACAACTGCATGAGGCAAGCAGGATTATTCCCATTCTACAGATGAGGAAGCTGAGGCCCGGAGGAGCAAGGTTGCAGAGCTAAGACGTTAGAGCCAGACAGCTTCCCATTTTCTGTGCTGTATAGTGACCCACATGATGTCTAAATTCTGTGCCCATTCTCAGATCTCAGAGTCTAATCTGACTCCAGTTTGGGGACAGGAAAATGACAAATTTTATAAAATGCCTGAGTTACTTTTAAAGCTACGCAATTTTTTTCAATTCGGGCTCTTACACTAGCCCAAACCAACAGCTGGAAAGTGTCGTCAAGCTGAGGCCCCATGGGGACAACTTTAATGAAAAGAGAACCGTTGTGAAGGGCAGGAGCACGGTAATTGTCAGCACGCAGATGGATGTCGCTGATTATAAATGGGCCTCTCTCAAGTGGGTGAAGCGAGGTGCCCCTCCCCAGCCCTCTATCCCAAATCCTTTTGCACCGTTGATTTGCTGAGCAAACCCTTGCTTCAGACAGGAGAAGAGGACCTTCTGGTCTCATCAGTGACAATCCTGGCTCAACAGCATCTGACTCAGAGGGCTCTGAGCTCCAGCTCCTGCCCGGGAGAAAGAGTGCTAAGGGCTGGGACCCAGGAAGGGTCCCTCTGTCACAAGGCTGGGGCTGGGAGAGGTTCTGCCCCAGGACCTTTTTATCCTAGAAGGGCTGTTTTGGGCCAGATAGTTCCAGTTCAGGAGCTCCGTCTAGGCGGCCTCCAGGTGGACTGTCACAAGTGCACTAGCCCTGCTCTGTCATCTGTGCACCTGGCTGTAAAGCAAACACTGTTTAGCATTAACTCTGAGCCAGGTGGGGACCCTGGGCATTCGTAGATAAGCTACACCCAGGCCTGCCCTCCAGGAGCTGACAGTCTAGTGAGGCAGCTGGCCAGATGAGCAGCAATTAACCAGGGTCTAACAGGTGCAGGGACAGGGGGACTCCCAGGGGCTTTGGGCCCCTGATCCAACAGAGTCCTGGAAGGCTTCTGGGAGATCAGGTGTCTCAGCAGAGTCAGTAGGAGTTAACCAGGTTGGGGGTGGGCAGAACAGGCCTGGGGAGGAGGCCAAGCCCTGTGGGGCACACCCAAGAGGTTCTGGGAGGTGGGGGACAGAGGGAAGGGGAGCGAAGCCGGGATCCCACCCTTCCCTGAGCCGTTCTTCCAACAAGTATCAGGAAGCGTCTACGTATCAGTGCACGTCCAGCACTATGCTGGCTACTTAGCAATGAACAGTCCCCGTCCTCACAGAACTTATACGTTAGAGTGGGGGAGAGAGAAAGTAAACTAGTGGACAAATTACAATTGTTTAAATTCAAGGCATGTTTAGTGCTCTGAAGGAAATAATTAGGGACAGAGGACAGCAGGCCGGGGGAGCAAGTTTAGACAGCACAGTCAGAGAAAGGGGAGACTTGACTGCCAAGGGATGGGAAGGGATAAGCCAGGCAGGGCTGAAAGGAGATGGGACCAGGGAGAGGTGGGGATGGGGGACAAAAAGCTCGGTGCATCCTGGGATACGCCCCCCAAGAGCCTAAGCACAGTGTGAGAGGGGGAGGTCACCAAGGGCAGTGTGGCAGGACCTTGCAGGCCACTCAAAAGGCTTTGGATTTTATTCCTCCAAAGGGAAACCCCAGGAGGATGCTAAGCAGGGGAGTGGTGCCTCTGATTGACGCTTTTAAAGGACCGGGGGAGGGCGAAATGTGGATTAGAAGGGGACAAGGAGGCAACAGTGGGGGGAGGGGGCATTCGGAGGCAGTTGCAGAAATCCATGCTAGAGATTGTCATGGCTTGCAGCCAGGAAAGGAAAGAAGGTGACAGACAGACTGACCGTTGGAGCAAGTGGAGACAGGACTTCCGGCTTAGGAGCTGGATGATGGTGGGGTGGGAACAGCTGGGAGAGGGTCTGGTTGTCTTGTCTGGAGCCAATTAAATGTGAGATGCCTGGAGGTGTCAAGAGGGCAGTTAGTTAGAAGCTGGGGGAGGAGAGAAGAGCTCAGAAGAGAGCAAAGAGGTGAATTTGGGAGCCTGCATTTACAGATGCAATCCAGAGCCCTGGAAATGGGTGTCCCCCTGAGGCAGGAGAGCGTGGGGGAAGATGAGCCCATTATATGACAGCATGAGATGCTCAATAGGTATTTGTGGAATGAAGGAAGGAAGGACAGTGAAAAGCCATCTAGGACCGTCAGCAGGGGGGTGACATGATCAGCTATCTATGGCTGCCACCCAGGGAGGATGGCGGCATCACTTTGTAAACCCACCACTTTCCCTTTCATTTAATGATCCGTTCGTGGACCCCCGCGGCTGCCACGTAGACAGTGTCGCTCTCCTACCTGGCAGTGGCTTGGGTCATTTTTCAAAGTCCCTGTGCAGGTGGGATGCCGCGGTCCTCTCTTCTGCGAGGCTGCCACCGTGTGGCGAGCAGAGGAATGACATGGATGGACCACCTCCATTTTCAAAGCATTCATTGTGCACCTACTATGTGCATGGCCCTGGGGTCAGTTCTGTGTGGGACACAGAGAAGTCAGAGATAGGGTGGCGAGGTGGTAAAAGAGAGGACTTAGAATAAGCAAAACGTGGGTTTTAATTCTGTGTGGCCCTGGGCAGTCTGGGCTCTCTCGTTTGCAAAGGGTGGAGAGCAAGGACACGTTCCCCATGCAGCATGCGGTGGATCAGGATGTGCCTGGCAGGCCGTGCATGAATACTCCACCATGCGATCACTGTCACCTCTCATAATATTCTCCAAACAGGCAGAGCAGTAGGGGGTGATCTGGGCAGGGACGTGCCTGATGGGCCAGGCCAAGGCTTTGTGGTCTCAAGGACAAAGAGCCCCCGTGAAAGCGAGGGTGGACAGAGGCTGGCGGGGCGGGGGTCTGCAGGGGTACTGCCTCCTGCTGCGTAGGTCCCTTCTGCTCTGTCGCTGTGCCTTTTCACTCTCGGTGTGCCTGAACGTGGTCTCTTCTCTTTTCGGTTTCCCTCGGTTTGTCTCTGTTGATGGCTTTCCGTTCTTTGAGCCTCTTTCTGCCTCTCTATGTCTGTCTTGTCCCTGCCTCTCTCTCCCCTCCACCCGCCTGCCTCCCCATCTCTGCTCCTTCCTTGTCCTCCTTCCTCTGTCTCTCCACTCCGTCCCTGTGCCTGTTGTTTTTCCTCTCTCCTGGTCTCTGCCCATCTCTGCTCCCATTTCTGCCTGTCACTCTGTTTCTGCCACCTGTCCCCATGCATCCCTCTCTCTGGCTGTGTCTCTCCTCACCAGCCTGTCCAAAGCTGCCGACCTGGATCATCACTGGGTGGCCAAGGCCTGGCTGAATGACATCGGCCTGTCCCAGTACTCCCAGGCCTTCCAAAACCACCTGGTTGACGGGCGGATGCTGAATTCCCTGATGAAGCGGGACCTGGAGAAGCATCTGAACGTGTCCAAGAAGTTCCACCAGGTCAGCATCCTGCTGGGGATTGAGCTGCTGTACCAAGTGAACTTCAGCAGGGAGGTGAGGACCAGGGGAAAGGGGCAGGGGTGGGAGCACCTTCCTCTGTCCTCCTTTACCCTCTGGCATCCACTGTCTGTCCATCTAACCATCCACTTATCTTATCTGTCCATCTGTCCATCCAGCCCTCTGTCCCTGCATCCATTTTCATCCAATCATCCATCTATCCATCCATCTGTCCACCCATCCCTCCACCCATGCATTCATCCATCCATCCATCTGTCTGTCCATCCATCTCTCCATCCATGCATCCATCCCTTCCTCTATCTCTCCCTCTTTCCAACAACCACCTATTGGACATGGGTCAGGCCCTGAGCTCAATTCGGGGGAAGTGGGGAGCCCTCATCCTCTGAGAGCACACGCTTATCAAGAAGAACCACAAAGAAGCTGGTGGTGACCATACTCTGGGCAGTGAGGGAAGCCCAGGGTTTTATGAAAACTTAGAGAAGAAACTTCCAAGGGGATTAGGGAGGGCTTCTCAGAGATAGTGACAGCCAGACTGAAACCCAAAGGAGAAATTCCAGGGATCAGTAGAAGATAGGAGGGGAAAAGCAACCCAGCAGAGGGAACAGCATGGGCAAAGGCCCAGAGGACAGCTCTGTGATTGCAGAGGAACTGAGTCCTGTGCGAGTGGGCGGCTGGGTTTGAGGTGGTGGGAGATGAAGGAGATGCTGGAAAGGTCACCAGGGACCCATGGGTCCTGTTAAAGAGTTTGGACTCTGAATGCCCCTTGATTCTGAGCTCTGCCAAGCCAGAGTGCACAGGGCAGCTGCTTCAGGTCCCCAGAGCCCACCCAGTGCATCTCCTGCATGTGCCCTTGAAGAAGGGGCCTGAGCTGCAGGTCCCTGGGAACAGGGAGGTGACAAGGGCACAGACCCTGGCCTCTGGGAGCCCACATCTAGTGAAGTCAGCAGATGTAGAAGATCATGACAGTTACATGTGGAAAAGGGCACGCTGGAGGGGCCTGCGGGTCAGGGAGCCCTGGCAAAGGTGTGTCCACTGCGGGCCCAGGAGCACTGTTAGGGAGTCAGTCCTGTGAGGGCAGCAGGATGACCCCTCTGCAGGGCACTGTGTGTGCTGTTTTATACAAGGGTGACACTAACTGCCCCAGAGGCTGGGCAGACCCCCGGGAGCAGTGGCCCCACATGGAAAGGCCTCACCAAATATTCATTCAGTACCTGCTCGTGTCAGGTGAGCTGAGGGCGGGATACAGCGGACAGGGGACACGGAACAAGGCAGCTGCATGGGTCTCACCCCAGCGCCGCGCTCCCGGCTCTCTCCACCCCGGGAAGGGGCTTCTGCCCATTTCCCAGAATGAAAAGCTGAGCCACGGAATGATGTGGCTCAAGCAGCCATGGCTGACCTGGCCAGGACTCCTCTTCACTCAGGCACACCAAGGTTCCAGCCAGCACCGTGGACCCTCACTCCACATGTGACCCCTGGGTGCCCCCTCACCCCTCAACTGACCCTTGTCTCTCCCCAAGGCTCTCCAGGAGCGTCGGGCCCGCTGCGAGACACAGAATACTGACCCCGTGGTCTGGACCAACCAGCGGGTGCTCAAGTGGGTGCGAGATATCGACCTAAAGGTGAGGGCTGATGGTGGGTGTGGGGTGATTCTGGGGCATATGCAAATCCCATGCAAATGTGCATGCAAATCAGTAGCTGTTTTTGTGTGAACTGGGCAAGAATAACCTGCCTCCATCACTCTCAAGGAGGGAATGACTCGGCACCCCCTGCAATAAGACCCCCATGTCATGAGGCCTGTCTCACATGGGGTGGGGAGGCTGAGCCTGCCTCACCTGCCCAAGCACGTGTGGGGTTGAGTGCCAGGTGCATGTGTTCTCTGCACAAATATGTATGGGCTGCTTGTGAGGGTCAGGGGCTATGCCAGGGACATGATACCCCCAACTCCTGGCTCTGAAAGACTGGGGCAGGGGGTCCCCATCACTATTAAATTAACTGGTCCCCAAGGGGTCAAGCTCTGGCTATTGGGGACATATCCCCACTTGGAGCTGGGAAACCCTTCAGGCTACCAGGGCAGTCCCCTTGGGCCAGTGGAGTGGCCCCTCAGGCAAACCAACCTCGTGCCTTTGCCCTCAGGAGTACGCAGACAACCTGACCAACAGTGGCGTCCACGGTGCTGTACTGGTGCTGGAACCCACGTTCAATGCCGAGGCCATGGCCACTGCCCTGGGCATCCCCAGTGGGAAGCACATCCTCCGGAGACACCTGGCAGAAGAGATGAGCACCATCTTCCACCCAGCCAAGTGAGTGCTCACCGGGCTGCTGGGTACAGCTCACAGGCTGTGGAAGCAGAGGGTCCTGGCTTCCCATCCCAGCCCCTCACTCGCTGTATCCCACCTGTTCCACCGTGGTCTCCTCTTACAGATCAGGAAGCTGAGGCTCAGAGAAGCAAAGTGCTTTAGTGAGAACACAGTTAGGTCTTGAATAAAATGTATGTTAAATCCAAAAACACCTGGATATTTAGGGAAGGGGGAGCAAGCAGTAGTGGGTAAGGAAAGCCATGTGAGGGTGGGCTTGAGCTGGGAGGATTTGCATTGGCCTAACAGGTTGAGACGGCCATTCCAGGCAGCAGTAACTGTGGAGACAAAGGCTTGGAGGCAGGAATGGGCATATTAATGGTGTTTTATGGTCCAGGTGAGCAGATCGTGTCAGCCCACCTACCCAGTCTCCTCATCTGAAAAGTGACCAGTGAATTAATACCAGGTCAGATTAGCCAGGCCCCTTCCCAGTGGATTCTCCCTTTAAAATGATACACTTAGGGCTAAACTAACATTTGTTGAGCACTTGCAATGTGCGCTAATTTCATCCTCCTGTGCCAAGAGATTGATATCACGCCTCCTCCTTTATAGATGGAGAAATTTGCTCAAAGGGGCCAAGCTATGTGTCCAAGCTACACAGCTAGTAAGTGGCAGAGCCTGGATTTGCCCTTTATTCTATTAACATGGTGTATTACATTGATGGATTTTCAGATGTTGAACCAACCTTGCATTCCTGGGATAAATCCCACTTGGTCATGGTGTATAATCCTTTTTATGGGTTGTTGGATTAGGATTGCTAGTATTTTGTTGATCTGTTTTGCATCTTTATTTATAAGGGATGTTCATCTGTAGTTTTCTTGTGATGTTTTTGTCTGGTTTTGATGTCAGTGTAATACTAGCCTCATAGAATGAGTTGAGAAGTGTTCCCTCTTGTTTTCTGAAAGAATCTGTGAAGGAGTAGTGTTCATTATTCTGTAAACATTTGGTAGAATTCACCAGTGAAGCCAACTGTTCCTAGGCTTTTCTTTGTGGGAAGCTTTTTGATTACTAATTCAATCTCTTTACTTGTTAAAGGCCTATTCAGACTTTCTGTTTCTTCTTGAGTCAGTTTCAGTAGTTTATATCTTTTTAGGAATTTGCTCATTTCATCTAGATTAGCCAGATGGCATACCGTTAATCATTAATTATGTATTCTCTTATAATCTCTTATTTTTCTAAAGTTTATAAAAATACCCTCTCTCTTATGCCTGGTTTTAGTAATTTGAGTTTTTGCTATTTTTTCTCTTGATCAGTCTAGTGAAAGGTTTGTCAATTTTGTTGACAGAACACAGATTTGAACCTGGAGCTCTCTGGCTCGGGCCTGATGTTGAACCCCTAAACCTCATGGAGCCTTGGGGAGCATCTGAGTCACTCCCTGTTTTATGCAGGTGGAGAAACTGAGGCTCAGGAGAGGGTTGCGCATCTGCAGCAGGGTGCAGGTGTCCTGGACTGCCCTTCCCCACTGGCAGGACAATACCAAGCTGTTTTCAAAGTGAGGCCCACAGGCCCTCGCAGCAGAATCACTGGAACTCTTGTGAAATGCAGATTCCCTGGCCTACAGGACAAGCATCTGCTGGCAGAGCCCAGGGATCTACATTTTTAGCATTTTTAGATTTTGAAGTAGTTCTGATGGAGACCGAGGTTTGACAAGAACCTTGTTGCATGAGCCATGAATCAATAGGCAAAGAAAAAAGGCTTTTTTGCTCAGAATTCTCCACCTCCCCTAACCTTCCTTCTGGAGCCACAGGATTTGTAACAGGCTTAAAATATTCTGAGCCCTGGAGGGACGGCACTAGCTAAACATTAGCCGGCATCATCAGTGTATCTGATTAAACCCTTGGCCACATGTGGGATAACTGGTGTGTTCAGGATGGTCTGGGACTAATGGGTGAGCACCAGGCATGGATGGCTCTGGTGGGGACAAATAGGGTGGGCCCCTGTGTTTTGGTAGATCGGGGACTCCTCTGGGAATCAGGTGAAAGCCGTGGACCCCCTGGTGACAGGATAAGGAAGAGGGAGATGGACTCAGTCCTGGCGCCTCATTTTACACATGAGGAATCTGAGGCTGGTCAGCCAGGGACAGAGGTAGGCCAGCTTCAGGCTCCACGCCCATCCCCGTTATCCCTTCTGTCCATGGCACTGCCTTCCCCCACATGTCTGCACATGGCTCATGAGTCAAGGTCCCTGTGGCTCAGAACCATGCCAGCCCTTTGCTGACACCCTGTCACGGGCCAGGGAACAGACTCAGTAAGCTGAGGGGACACTGAACTCCATGGGTTTCTAAGGGATTTTAGAGACCACCTCTGTCGCTGCAAGAGTCCCCAGCTAAGGCAAACACCAGGGGCGATGGTGATCTCCAGGCCTGTGATGAGACACTTGGGGAGATCTGACAGGTTTCTTTTAATCAAGATCTTTGAGCTTTGCCCCGGGATGTCTCTGTGATAGTCCAGGCAGTGAAACCCTCCTGCCCACGGCCCTCTGTCTCTTGCTCCTTCTCTGCTGCTACACTTGGCTTTCCAGGTAGAGGGGAAACAAGGGATGAGGCTGGGCAGGGGTGCTGGCCTTTTGCAGCAAGTCCTTCCAGAATGCTTTAGATTGGGTGGAAAGATTCCAGTTTGAGAAACATCCCTGGCCATGGAGATAGATACCAGGGGCTAACCCAGGACTCCATTGCAGACTGAATCCCAGGCTGGGTGGACCACGGTGGTGGTACTAACAGCAACCCTTCATATTGATAACAGAATTTATCATCAGCAAAATGCCGACATGTCCCTCACTTAATTTGACCCCCACCCCAACCCCAATGACGGAAGCCAAGTGAGAAGGGACCATCGCTAAAGCTTCAGAGAGGAGCCGTGACTTGCCTAGGACAAGACAGGAGTCAGTGGCAGTGCTGGCATCTGCCAGCAAGGAAGCAAGGACATCTTGTCCAGTGATCACGTACCATGCTTGGAAGCTTTGAGCGAGCTGATGAGTACCTGGTCCTACTCCCCAGCAGGTGTGACCCCTGAGGTCCTGTGATCACTTAAAGAAGAGGGGGACGGATCAATCAGCTCAGAGCATCTTCGGGGATTATAGTCACCATGTGTTACAACCCACGGTCAAAGAGTCAGGTAATATAGGCGCCCAAGCCTGACTCTGGGAGAGGCACATTCACCAAGAGTTTACGAGTCCTGATATGACGTCATCTTCTCCAGCCTCCTCCCATCACCATGACAACACACATGACCCCATGACATTGTCTCATGGTATCTGCTTTGACACGCACTGAGTTCCTGCTTCTCCTGATAAACCCAGTCCAGTGCCAATGCGTCACACATAGGACTGTGCAACAAAGATCCAGAGAAATAGAACCAGTGGACAAAAAGGGCGCAGAGAGGAGCGGGGGCACCCAAAGGCACTCGCTGGGGTGTCAGAGGAGCTGGGTGAAGCCTTGATGCAAATGGGTGACCTGCTCCTATGCATGCTTTGCAGATGGTGTGTCCTATCTCTAACACAAAGCCAGGGATGGCGCAGCTGAGCTCTGCCATGGGCCAGGCCAGGGCCCAGAACTTCACAGTCACTCCTTGAGGCAGGTGCAGGGAGCCAGCCCCATTTTGCACATGAGAAAACTGAGGCAGAGCTCCATTGCATGTCTTGCCTGGGGCCAAAAGCTAATACGCTGTGCAGCTGGGATTTAAAGCACCACACTTTGCTGCTGCCCTAAAGGCTGGAAGAGTGGCCAGAACAGTGGAAGAACTGGTGTTGAGTAACAGCTGCCTCTCCCTGCGCCTCTCCCTGCGCCTCTCCCAGGGCACTTCTGAGCCTCTGTCCCAGGGTCAGCTGCAGTAGTGGAGGAACCAAAACCTCTCTCTGTCTCTGTTTGTGCCTCACTGTCTCTGTCTCTCTGTCTATGAGTCTCTGTCTCTGTCTTTCTGTCTCTCTTTGTCTCACTGTCTCTGTCTCTCTGTCTCTCTTTGTCTCACTATCTCTGTTTCTCTCTCTCTGTCTCACTGTCTGTCTCTCTCTCCCTTGATCTCTGCTCCTTTCTAAACATGGCCCAGTACCGGTAGGAATAGCCCTTTGTCAGAGCCCCCGAGTGCCTGGGAATGAAGGGCCGTTCTCCCGATGGATCCGTCCTCCCCCACTCCTGCTGGAAGGTGGCTGATGAGCCAAGGGGACATGGTGGAGGGAGCCGGCCTCTCCAGGGAACAGAAACGGGTCTGGCTCCCGATCTCCAGAACTGCAGCCCGTGCTCTGAGAGACCAGCCTTGTGCCCTGGCCCTCCAGGGCCTGAGTTGTCTGGGCCACATCAGAGTCCAGTTTCCGTGGTGTTTATCGGGGCTGTCAACTTTCAGAGCTTTCTCAGCCCTACCGGCTGACCATCTCCTTACTCAGCCAAGCCTCAGAACCCTCGTCAGTGTCGTGTGTAACTGGTACCCCTGGTCATCCCACACTGTCCCATGATGGGTACTCAGACAGCATTTTCTGGGCAGGCAGGGTCCTTACCCCTCAGCAGAGTGCTTGGTGTCTTGGCTCTCCCGGCTGCCAGAGCTGGAGGAGAACTTGGAGATCTCCTAGCCAGTCCCACTTTCTCCTTTTACATACAGGGAAACAGAGGCCCAGAGAGGCAGCTTAAAACATGCAAGAAGGTTCATTTCTCTTAAGGAGTCCAACTCCTTGGTGGCCCAAACCATGGCTCACAGCTCCTGCATAGCCTGCCCCTGACTGCCTGTCAGCCAGAGCCAATTCCTTTGTAATATGTTTTAAATGTTAATATGCATCATTATTGCAGGATCACACAGCAAGCTGGGGCAGGACTAAAACCCACGTCTCTGCACTCCTAGTCACAAGTTCTTCCTGGAACTGGGATCTCTCTCCACTAGGATCTAGGCCAGGATAGTGCTACCTTTTTGCCATCAAAGTCACCCTCAACAGTCATTAAGCACCTGCTGCATATAGGCACT